CCGCCGCCGGATCAGGGAGCTCCGCAATCGATAAGTATGGCTATCCACCCATAACATTAGTCTCTGAGTGTACTCTCCTAAGCTGGCTCATTGAGATATAGGACTATAGGGTCGTCAGATAAGTCGCTCCTTTTGTGTATTGGCTCTTCCTTCTGCTCTGGGTCTTCCACATTTTGCTATTCAAATCCTTGTCATGCAATCAGTACACCATTCCGAATACACCATTTCCTACCCTTATATAGGTTTGGGGTCAGGAGAAATATGTGATTTAGTCTGTGATGAATTCCCATAAATCTAGAGTAATGTTCCTGCTTCTTAAATCATGCTCCTCATCTTCTCCGCTCATTCAATACCAGATTTCCTTCTAACCCAATCTTTTCTGCCAAACAGACGTTTCTCATGGGGGATAAAATATCACAACAGCTATTATATGCCTCCTCACATCATTGACACAAAGAGTCTCCGTACAGGTGACCAGCAACATTATCGTTGCACGTATTCGCACATATGCATCATTATGGACGCTGCTCACTCTAACCTCACATCTGTTTATGATGCTGAGACATCCTTTGTCATTTCCAGCGGAGATCCTCCTACATCATTTCTGCTGCATCAACCATGCATGGTTTGGTGTTGCAGGAATGAAGCAAGCCAATCGCTAACACGGATTTGGATTCCGTTGTGGTGATCTAAGAGTGTATTTATTATTGTTTATTCTGATTTCTGGTTTATTGTGTTTGGCTTGTCTTGACTATTCTGCATTCTGTAATCCCTGACGTTGGATTTGTCTACCATTATTGTGTACCTCTGTGATCCTTAATCTCTACTGGCATTTCCACCCCATTATATCTCCTTCTTGCTATTATACATTTAGCCCAACTACCTCTAGTGACTGGTTATAAAGTATCTATCTCTTCTCTCTTCTACCTTGCTAGGTTTGATTAAATTCTGTGTGTTGGGCTTTTTCGTATTTTCACATACAACTCAAAAGTGGGACATTTAAGATAGAAAACAGCAGAACCAGTAGGCACATGCCATTGGTAATTGCTCCTCTATTACAGCTATGCATCACTTTTTAAATCACAGCACTTTGATAAATGTCTTCCTCTACGTCAGGGGTCCTCAAACTCCGGCCCCCCAGATGTTGCTGAATTACAACTCCCATGATTCTTTGGATTACATAGATAGCCAGAGAATCAAGGGAGTTGTAGTTCAGCAACATCTGGGGGGCTGGAGTTTGAGGACCCCTGCTCTATGTACATCCCTTGAACAAAAGAACATGTGTATATTTTGTTAAAAGCTGTACACTTTTTTTATACTATCCCTAATGGTTATCTTAAGTACACCATTATGTTATCCAATTATCGATCTAATGTTATTGTTATGACTTAATTCATTTGTAACCCCTTATGGACTGAACAAAACGTAAACAAAACCTGAAATTTGCGCTATATGTTCAACCGTAATTCACTTCTTTCATATTAAGTGCACCCACACTTATTATATATCATTTTGTTCAGGAGAAACAGAGCTTAAATTGTACGTGAACTATTCTTATATAAAACATACTTTATTATGAATAAAATCTTAAGTGTGAGAAGTTAAAGGGACACTCCAGGCACCCAGACCACTTCTGTCCATTGGAGTGGTCTGGGTGCCAACTCCCATCACCCTTAACCCTGCAAGTGTAATTATTGAAGTTTTTATAAACTGCAATATTTACCTTGTCAGGGCTAAATCTTCCTCTAGTGGCTGTGTATCAGACAGCCACTAAGGTACTTCCGGGTTCTTAAAACCTGAAAAGTGTTTTAAACGACGCTGGACGTCCTCACACTATGAATGAGAACCTCCAGCGTTGACAGAATCCCAATAGGAAAGCCATGAATAATGCTTTCCTATGGGGAGGTCAAATGCGCGCGTGGCCCTTGCCGCACATGCGCATTAGGTCTCCCCTGCCTGCTGATGTTGGCGGGGAGGAGCCTGGGCGGAGCCTGACCCAGCACCGAGGGACATCGGCGCTGGATTCAGGTAAGTCAATGAAGGGATTTTAACCCCTTCAGCAACATGGGATGGGGGGTGGGAGGGAGAGGGGCACTGCAGGATTCTGCAGTGCCAGAAAAACGGATATGTTCTCCTGGCACTGGAGAGCCCCTTTAATTTTTTTTTACATTTTTTTTAGTTCTGCGTGGCATTTTAACTGTGACTGTCATAATACTGTTAGATTTTACTGCAATGAAATGCACATATTTGTATTCCGCGATGTCTCACGAGTAAAACAAGACCCCCCTATGTACAGGTTTTAGAGGTGTTTTGAAAAGTTACAGGGTCAAATATAGCATGTTTAATTTCTCAGTTTATACACGTTGGAATTTGCCAGACTGGTTATGTTGCCTTTGAGACTGTACAGTTGCCCAGGATTGAGAATTACCCACATGATGGCATACCATTTTCAAAAGTAGACAACCCAGGGTATTCAATATGGGGTATGTCCAGTCTTTTTTTAGTAGCCACAAACATTGGCCAAAGTCAGCATTTATATTTGTTGTGTGTTAAAAATACAAAAAACTATTATAAAAGCTAACTTTAGCCAGTGTTTGACTAAATGGCTACTAAAAAAGACTGTACATACCCCATTGGCAATACCTTGGGTTGCCTACTTTTGCAAATGTTACGCCATCATGGGGGTAATTCTCATTCCTGGGCTACCATATTGTCTCAAATACAACATAACTAAACAGTTTTTTGGTTTTTTTTTGCCTTCTTTTGGATCAACCGCAATAAACAAATGTGAGGAAGGAGGAACTTCAGGGATGCAAGTCTCTTTTCAGTTATATATCCTTGTAACTATATAATCTGGCAAATTCCAATGAAATAATGAAATGGGCAAGTCTTATATTTGACTCTATAACGTTCAAAAACACAATAAAACCAGTACATGGGGGGATACTGTTATACTCAGAGACTACACACTGAACACAAATATTAGTGTTTCAAAACAGTAAAACGTATCACAATAATGATATCATCAGTGAAAGTGCCGCTTGTGTGTGAAAAATGCAAATAACGTCACTTTCACTGACTATCATCGCTGTGATATGATTTACTGTTTTGAAACACGCTAATATGTGTTCAGCGAAATCTCCCAAGTAAAACCGTAACCTCCATGTACAGGTTTTAGGGTGTCTTGGAAGGTTACAGGGTTAAATATAGTGCTAGCAAATACAATTCTCTGGACTTTCTGCCTGGGTTGTCGGGGAGGTCCCTCAAATTGCAATCAATAAAATTACTTAATTATGTAAAAAAATTACATAAATATGCGCCTAGAATTTAAATATATATACATATTTATATATTTGAAGTCTATGTATATATTTATGAAATTATTTATGTAATTATGTATATATTTATATTTTTTATATTTTTATTTATATATATTCATTCTAAGTGTATTTTGATATAAATATATTTATATATTAATATCAGTATACAGTTAGAATAAAATAAAAATACATATATGTATACCTTATTTAGAAAATATCAGCACTCCTGGCTTTATAATTAATGTTGTTCTTTTATTGTATCGTCTCTTACAATAAAAGAACAAAATTAATTATAAAACCAGGAGTGCTGGTATTTTCTAAATAAGGTATTTACAGTGTTACTTGGTACCAAGTTTATTTTTCTGACTGGAGGTTGAAGTGCAAAAGTTTGGATTTATTTTATCTTAAATAATAAGTAAAAAAAATTATATATATGAAGTGGAAATCAATCAATAAATTGATTATTTTTGTGTATCTGCCCCTGTCCAAATTGGTTATGGTGCATGCATGCTTTCCAAAGTAAATCACACCAGACACGTTTCCCGGTTGATGAAATACTCTGGAATGCTTATTCAGGGTGGACGACATGTCCCTTATAAAGCACAATTACATCATAAGCACTGTCAGAGATAACACGAAATAACACATCAATAATTGGTTAAGTGTTTTATTCAAAGCACATCCTACTGGGTGTGCCATCTTATGTCATTACTGTCGTCATGAAGTTCTCCCCCGGATTCCAGCGCCATCTTGAAAATGAGAGTGTTTGGTCGATGGGTGGGGTACTCCTGAGTGGCATCTAGTGGTCAGTTTAGTAATTTGTTGAATAATACTGAGTATAACTAAATGGAGTAAATAGGCATTTTACTAGCAAAAAAAAAATGTCAATATCTAATTTCCACAACAGTCCCCCCTTAAAATGGCTATTTTCCATAACAACTGCTACTGTCCCTAATATGTCCCTAGTTGCCTGCAGCTCATCTGTCTTAACAAGCATCAAACTCTTCACTCCGTGGGTAACCCGCAGCAGCTAGTCCACCACATCTCCGCACGTGAGACTTGCCTGTAGAGACAGAAGCTTTCCCTATGCTATCCCTACAGAGATGCAGTTGTCTGTCTGAATTGGTGGGATTGGAGGGGTGTATGTGGTGTGTCACATTCTAGGTCA